CCTGATTTTCTTTATAAATTATTGAAATACTTACAGGAATGTAGTTCCATCCGGAAAATATCCAGATCATAGTTTAAAAGATTTAGAACGTTTTGTCCATATTGATAATCAGTGTTGCATGATATATTTCGATCATATGACTATCAAATATCAAGGTTTAAAGAGGCAAAAGAGGCTGGGGTGTGGCAGCCATTTTCAGACTATTTCGATCTCCTTTAGAAGAAGAGCTCCATATAAAGATATACAAAAATGATCAAATTTTAAAACTAAAATGTATGAATTTTTTCTTTGCCAAATGATAGTTGACAGCTTAAAAATAAGTTAAATCTGGTGGTTAATTTGTTGATTTGATGACCCCTCAGCCTCCTTAATGTCGGCAATGATATTTTAATCCATAAGCAAGTAGAGACTAGACCAAATTTAAAATCTACGTTGCAGTAGACGATAACATTTCTACCTGTGTTTAAGGGACCAGGCAAAATTTATCGTAATGATGGTACAAACGGGCATATGGGACAATGAGTTTAATCATGGTACCAAGACATTTTCAGCATTAAGTACCCATGGGACACAAACCTTTTTCAATGACTAACAGTACTTAACCCAAAAGAAGTATTCATTTTATTTTTTTTTTTAAATTTCGGGAAAAAAAACATATCTTTGAAACTGAAGTGAAGGATACAAATGGCAACATAAATCTTTTAATGGAAAATATTACAACAGATGAAAATGAACGTAAACAAAAAACATTGATTTCGATGTTTGAAATATCTGTAGTCTGAGAGACTCTTTAATTTTTTTGTTCCACATTATCTCACTAACACCGAGATGTAACCATGGGACAATTACTTTTTTATACAGAAAATCCCAAAGCATGGGACTGATATTTTTTTTAATACCAAAGCCATGGCCGGGACACGTATACTTTTTCAAAATGAGGATTTTGTTTTGTACTGGTCAAATCATTGTGATAAATTTTGCCTGGTCCCTAAGAGCAGTGCCTTTTAAATCTTCAGCAATATATCACATTTATAGAGAACTGCCTTAAAAATCTTCAGCAATATATTTACTCGTATGTATTTACAATGATCATGTACGTACTATTCTGAGGTTTCTTTTTTTACCTCGATAATTTCATCAACTGACAAAAATACTGACAATTTTGCTTTAATTTAAAAATGGTATAAGTAGACTTTTTGGGATAGGGAAAATGGTATTTGGATTTTTGAAAATCTTGGAGCATGTAGCTAGCAATCGAGAATTTTCTGAATGTTGAGTTAGACAATCCATGTGTAGTATTTTTGATAGATTTCTTGTGAAAAGCAATTTAATATACATGTATTCTGAAAGTGACAAGAATTGTACTTAGAAATCTAGCTGCAGATCTGTTGCGTTATGGTTTATATACTTGTATTTGTCTCTGACCATAACGCAATGTGTACAGATCCCGTAATGCAAAAATATTTTTGCGCACTTTTGGGGAGAATTTTTCCACTTTCCAGCACCGGTCAATTAACTTCCTTTCACTCCCTAATTCTAGACACATTCTGTTGCCCATAAGTATATTTTATCCACCTCCCTACCATTTATAGTTGTCTCTACAGGCAATAAACTCACTTGAAGTGAATTTTCAGCAATCTAACAAATTTTTATCAAGCTAGATTATCACTTTTAGAGACGACTATGAAGGGTTGGGAGATGGGTGAAATATAGAGACTAGTTAAATCATGTGCCTAGAATTAGGGAGTGAAGGGTATCTAATGTAAGTAAATCTAGAAATCCATCAATTATGTGATTAAAACAAAAAGAAATTAATGTTTCTTTGGTTGTTGAAAAATTAATGATGTTTGATCAAAACTGCCAGCATTCTTATTGGTAAAAAGCTTGAAAAGATGGAAAATGTGTTGTCAGATGATGAAACTGGTGCTTAATCTTATTTTTCTCACCATAGTAAAGGAAGTTAAATCTAGAGTTATTGTAAATACTGATAATTTTCAGTCAAAGTGTTTGTATATGATTAAAGGCAATGATAGGTTTGTTATTTGTTTGCCTGACCATTATGAATGGGATTAACTTGTTAGTGGAAACACAATATAGTGTTTTATATATGTTTCAGAATTGCCACAATATTTTGGCAATAGTAAACTCAATGTAAAGATCAAAGTATTTTGTTGCTCGCTTCGAAATTAAGTTTTGGTGTAACATATTTAGTTCTCAAAATATTGCCTGCATGAATGTGAAAGTTTGACAACTTTGTAATATTTGTAAATATATGTCAGCAGTTATTGCTTCGTTAGGCAGTAGTAATTATGGTAGTTCAAAGAAAACTGCATATTGTGCTTTCTTCAAAGAAGGATAACATGTTAACATGTTTAAAGTCATGTCTTCTTCTTCATGATTGTAAACATGGTGAAAGTTTGACAAAAGTCTGTTTTTTAATGTTATAATTACATCTCCTTTCATGTTTGTAATGCTATCTAACCTCTTATTTGGCATGTATTGTGAAAATTCAATATTGGATTGCCAATGGGCTGTAATTGATGTATGAAACAATTGTTTTTCAATAAGGTTAATATAAAATTATTATGAATATTGTCACAAAATAAATTTGGAAATGAAGATCACGCAGTTTTCTTTTATTTATTCTATAAATCTTGAAATTTTTAAGTTTTAAAATTTGAAAAACACTCGTTCTTTGATATATTGATATTAACAGAAAGGTGAAATCACCGTTATCACCCCCTCCCACAAGTCAAAGTCAAGTACTAATCAAGTTTTACTCATGCACAATTAAAGTACTTACGGCTCAGTCAATTACCATTACCATGCTTCAGTATTTAAGAGAAAAGGCACAATATTTCAGTCACATTCTACTTTATTACAAATGGTCTGTAATTGAATTTTTAAAAAAGTAAACTTTGAAAATTGACAAATTCATATATTTTTTTTCAAATATAAAGTGTAAATATTAATATGTAACAGTGAAAAATATTTATCTTATAAAGATATAAAACAAAGTGGGAAATATAAAAGCACTTATCACAGTTGATAACAAAATAAAATGTACAAAATGTAAACAAATTTAATATAAATATACATGTAGTAAGATGTGCACAAACAACCCAGCATTAGCTGAGCAGATCAAAAAATATTTTACAGACTAGTTTATAAAAATGCATAAAGCTATAATTATAGCTAAAAATGTCATTCAAAACTTACATTATAATAAAATTGATGGACATAAAATTATAACATTTACAAATTAAACACTGAAATACATGTAGGTTAATTTTTAAAGTTTTTAAAATAAAAAAATTCATTTCATGTTTACATACTATAATATCTAAATGACTTCACATGCAAACATGTACATATACAGACAAATGTATTTTTTTATTAGTCCTATACAAAATTTTTAAAACATTATTGATTTTTTTCCTTCATGGGATGTCATTTAACAACTACTGTCTTTTCTTTTCTTTTTATCTTTGATCTTTCAAAATTTCAGAGAATATATCACAGATTTAAATGAGACAGCTTTTTTTCCCAAATTTTTAGCCTAATTATAATCTATAACTTGCATTTTTTTAGTGATTGACATGTATCTTGAAAGCTAAAAAGTGCAGAAGTATGAATAAAATCTCAAATTTCTATAAAGTTCAACAATCAGATTCAAAAATTGTTCTGTGCATCATATATGATTTAGATTTCTAATAAAGGAAAAATATATTAAAAAGATTTTTGGGTGTGTTTTTTTTTTCCTTATCAAATACTGATATTTATTGTAAAAAAAAAACAAAAAACTTACTGATTTTGTGAAACATATGAATTAACACAATTAATGAAATGGTTAATCACTTTGAGGTAAACTAAAAAACTTTCCATGGACGGATCCAACAATTATACCCACATTAATGTAAATTTAATAAATATACATGTTTGTCCAGCAAAGGTCTCACCCTAACCCCCACCCCAACCCATATCCAGGAATACAATTCTTTATCCAAAAAAAAATTCGTTTTGATATATGCCATTTTGTTAACAATTTTGACATGATTGGATCACATATTAAATACATTTAAATACATGTAAAAAAAAATTAATTGGCAAAAACAGCTGTTGATCTCTGTTGGAATAATGAACACTAGCAAAGTCCAAGGCCAAATGCAGCAACATGCAACTTTCACATCTCAGCAACATGCAACAAATGCTTACAAACAGTGCAACAAAAATTTCACAAGGTACAAATGGGTACAGTTAATGAAGACAATATCTTGTCATTAATCTTGTTTTTACGACATGTAAAATGCAGTGAACACTATTATAGCTTTACAAATGTGCAGCAAAGTTGATCAAGTCATTTAGCAATGGTGAACGGCAATATGCTGATATAAGCAAACCAAAGAAGTGTAATGGGCTAGCAATCATAATCAAATTATGTACAGCAAATAAAATTGAACAATTGTAAAAAAAAAAAATGTATAATTATATAAATCTGATATGTGTTTTTCTTTAAAAAAATTGTTGTTGGTTAAATAAATTTAATTTAATTAGCAGCTTTTTATTCTTCAATTTACAATTGAAAACATTAAATATAATTAAGGTAAAATATTTTATATCAAAATTAAGTGTCAAAAATCCAGATTGTGCATGCAAAATTTTTATTAAACTCAAGTGTCTGGCTCCAAAAAAAAAAAAAAAAAAAAAAAAAAAATGGAGGCATATAATTTCATTTCATATATGGCATAAAGTTTGCCTTTTCAGTAGAATACCGCTTTTTTCAAACAATTTTTCTCCAATTTAAAAATATAAAATGGGAAAAAATTGACTTTTTTTAAAGTAATGATTAGTTTTCAAATTTTATGCCATTGTTGTTCGCTTACTTAATTTCAAATTTTTCTCTTGAACATTAAAACTCTGAAAATAGAACAAAAAGTAAATCTGAAAACAAAATTTTATAAATTTTACAGAAATATAAAAAAAAAATTATCTTGCACTCATATATTACAGTCTGGTTTTACAATCTGGAAATATCATCATAAAAAAATTGTCCTCCAGCATTTATTTAGAACACAATTAATAGCTTAGTTGATATATTGAGACTCAGATTTCCTCCTTCCAAGAAGACAAACGAGTTTTAAATGTGGGGTCGGGGGACCGCACCCCTTTTCTGCTGGGGGTGGTGGCACTGGCGGGTCTGAAGAGAGAGCTGGGGTGGATCCGGACCGTGGCAGCAGTGGAGGGGCGACTGTTGTCGGGGGTACTTACAACTATACTGGGGTTAGGCGACCTTTTCCCGCGCTGCCCGGGGGCTGATTTGGCTCGACTTGTAGCTCGAGCTGTCGTAGCGCGGCTCATCGAGCCAGTCATCGGTCTCATACCTGGAAATCAAGAAGGTAGTAGAGTAAAATATCTAGATAATGAACAGTTATCGAATGCAAAAATCTATTGATTCAATTTGGAAACAATACAAATTGGGAGCAAAGCAATCACGGACCTCTCCAAACATCAGAAGTGGGTTTAGAGGTAAGTTAAAGGTACTTGGACACAGATTTGAGGTTAATATTTTCTCTATAATATTACGACTTATATATTTTAATAGCATTTCACACAAAAATTAATTGAAAATTTTATTTCATTTAAGGATGTACAACACACCTACCCCAAAAAATTCCTGTCGTTTAATTTTCGTTATTTTTGTATATGTAGTACATAACTATATCTACTGCATGTATGCATATTTTAGACAAAATCGTTCGAGTGGTTTTTGGACAGGAACCTCCGAAAGTTACCCCCCTTTAATTGTTTATAAGGAGTGAAAATTTTTTATCAATGAACTACTTAAACCTTGATTTTCAAAAAAACCAGGTATATATGTCAAATTTTATTGCCTTATTCCTTTAACCATTTAACACTAAAACATAGTCATCTTTTTGATATACATATCATCAAAACAATTTTTAAAGACCTTAAACTGAAAAACTATGAATTTTCTAAGCCTTGAAAATTGCGTATTTTTCAAATTCAAAATTTTTTTGTGAAAAAACCTGTCGTTTAATTTTAATAAAAAAATTTATTTAGGTAGCTGGTAGTAAAAATAATATTAATAATTTTTTTTTTAATTTTTTTTAGACCAGTTTTGATTTAATAGCGGAAAATTACCCCCCCCCCCCTTTCTCAATAAAACACGTTCCCGCGCGTCTTTCAGACGGGGGTCGATCACTTTGTTATATAAATCTACAAATACACATCAAAAAAATTAAATTGGAATATTGCTTTTGCTTTAAAAATATATTACCTTACAAATTTAAAAGTTCTCATATGTAAAGCGTATTTAAATGTAGATTTTTAGGCAATTTTTGAATACCCCTATCACCCCCACCCCCTTCTTTTTTGCGTCGCAGACCATCAGCGTTTGACGAAACGTCGTTTACAGTGCAAATATACTGGTATTTCGTCAAGAATCCCGGAGGTATGCATTATTTTTTAAATTCATGAATGCAGAATAAATATTGACTACTCTTTTTATATGTATCAGGAAAAAATTACTAAAAGATTTTAGTGTTTAGTCCATATACGTTTGCGTTATGCATTCCATATCACATGAAACCTGGATACGAATTCAAGTTTTGCTGAACTTGAATATGTTGATTTTTAATTTTATTAAAAAATGGTGTATGTTCAACTCTCCTGTGATATAAATGGAATAATTGTAGTCTCTTTCATGTCATTATTTCAAACGAGACAGTATGTGGCCGTGGGGATACATCGACATTTGCATTAGATGTACATACACCCCTCATATTGTATGCATTTCTTTCAATGTCGTCGCTTCTAAAGTTAAAATGAAAATACCGTATTCGTCCACATTAACATCAAAATATCAATAATTAAACTCTTCATCTATTTCAATTTATATCAAATCGCACATTGATATTTTTTAAAATCTTATAGGCTACGTTTTGTTTTGATTCGAGGAAATGCGAACCGACATTGTTGACAGAAAGTCAAAGTTACGATTTGCTGAAATAGGATATTCATAAATGCAGATAATTTCAGTACAAGTGAACAATTCTTTTCAATTCTATACTTACATTGTGTATATGAGGTCTATAGTATTCAATTCTCGGATTTATCAGGTCTTGCTGTAAATGTATCTGATTCTGTGGAAAACCGTGAATAAAGGGAGGAAAATAAACATCTACATTTTCAGAGTTGTTCCTCTTTGATCAGTAAGGGTCTGAGAACAACATCGATTTTACATTGTAAAAAGTTTTTTGTTTATTTATTGTTGTTTTATTTAATTAAAGAAGAAAAACAATATTTATATCGTGTATGCACAAATTGTAATGAAGACCATTAATCGGAATGTTATATAGCCAATTGTACATAAGGAGAATTTCGGCAATGTAAACAAAATTTTCAGAATAGAAAAAATGCTGCACTTTGCTCAAAAATACAATTTATTGTATATGAAATGAAATGAAATAAACATTAAGGGATGGTATTTTATGTCTTGCTTTTTACGGAGTTTAATCGGGTTAATTAAAAATACTTATGGATTGAGTATGGTGCGCACAATCACAGCCAAGCCCCATATCCCAATTTTATTTCATGGTTGATATACATCGGGATCGTTTTATTCGTCGTTTTGACGCTTTATTTTTGACGTTAAATTTGACGTCACGTCAAACGTTCAATTGAAATCGCAAGAGTTATCTCCCCCAGTGTGTTGTACGTCTTTAAAAGTTATTAAAACTTTAAATTTTTTGGCGGGTTTGATTGACACATCCTTGCACTTTCACAAATTTTAACTTTATTCTTAACCCTTAGGAAAAGAGGCAATCCTGATGTGTATTAATGAAAAATATTAATACTATAATCCAGAAAATTCAGAGTAGGCATGTTCTAAAGCAAAACAAACACACAATATATTGTCAGTCCGTGCAGTTGTGGTGAACAGACTTTGGCGATTGAACGCACCCGGTGAATCGTAAACATCAAACAATAACATGTTTACAAAAACCTGTGTACATAACACGAGTGTGATCGATTCGCAAAACTCTGTACACAACGGAATGACAATACTTGTGAAGGAGTTACAGGGCTTTCTAACATTTCTACTCTGGATAAAATTATTCTTCTGGATTTAAGGTTTAATATTTCTCATTAATACACATCAGGATTGCCACTTTTTCTAAGGATTAAGAATAAAGTTAAAATTTGTGAAAGTGCAAGGATGTGTCAATCAAACCGCCAAAAAATTTAAAGTTTTAATAACTTTTAAATGAAACAAGATTTTTAATTAATTTTTGTTTGAAATGCTATTAAAATGTATAATTCGTGATATTATACAGAAAATATTAACTTCAAATCTGTGTCCAAGTACCTTTAAAGACCCAATTTTTTACCGTACGGTTACAGGAGGAGAGGGAGTGGTCGAAGTAACAGTGGTGTTATTTACCTGGAGACCCTTAATACCCAAGATGTCAAAAATCTGTATACACGTATATAGCAGTACACAGGAAGTCTGTGTTTGGTAATCAGGGTCATCATTACGTGTTTTGTGTCTGGTTTTGAGTGAAACTATGTAAAATAATTATTTTAATATGAAAATTATTCGTAAACTTATTGCATTTATCGTAATCATGGTAATGTTTTGAAGGAAAAAAAATAATAAGATACACGTATATCGTTTTAGAAAATGTTTTCCTTACATAAAAGAAAAAATCACGAGTAAAAACTACAAATCAATAAATTTTATCTTTTTTAATCTTCAATAAAAGAAATCACTTGATTAAAAAAGTCTGAATATTGAAATAAAAAAAATTATTAATCCACCTATCCGTCGTGCATATGAACATGCATTTACCGCGATCGGAATGGTTTTTTTTTTCCCTGGCCAACAATGTTGTCCAAAATATTCCATATTTTTTATTCTCTGTGTGTTAACAAAATTTTATTGTTAGAAAGATTTCTTTTCAGAATCGATCACTATTAATTATCTTCACATTTTCATTACGTATATACAGTCAATTCTCGAATTATCGCCATTCGATTCATCACCATTTTCGCATTACCGCCATGATTTCCCAAGAACGTTTTTCCTGCTATATAAAATTCTCTTTATAACGCCAAATTCGCATACCGCCATCCGCCACCCTGTTTTCACAACAAACGTCCATTTTTAAGAGTCAATTATCTCGATATACCGCCACAGGTGTGTGTGGTCAGTGAAGCGCGGCTAATTGGTTGACGCCATCCCTGTTGTTAAGCATGCCAAGCCACACAAGCTACATGCAATTAAATAATTAATTAAGAATTCAATAAACAATAATTTTACACGAACTGTTATATAACCAAATTTTTCTATTAAATAAAAATCATTTAGTCACGGCTTTGCCTTGAAAACCGTCGTTGTTAAAGCATGCCGATAATGATATTATCTTAATGATCTCTGCTTTAAACAATACAAAATTTGCTTTCAAAATTAATATACGTTATAAATTCTGGACGTTTCATTAACAATATTGCCATTAACAATGAATTTATTCAAGAATTCATTTTACGTACTATCGGCAATATCTTACGACGATCGACCCAGCACTTTTTTTTCAATATCAGACTGCAGATTTACATGCATACACATATACTTGTCTTTATTTTATGCACATTTTGTTTTAGCTAAACTATACATAAAAATTACTTGAAGTATTCTCAAATTAAGGAGTATATATAATTTTTTATACAAGTAATTATACAAATAGAAGTGCGAATGGTATTGTTAAGAACGGTAACTCTACTTCTTGTTTCCTAAATGATGGAAAATTCAATTCATCGCCAAATTCGTTATACCGCCATGATTTCTGAATTACAAAAGGTGGCGGTTTATCGAGAATTGACTGTATACAGACACTATAGGAAATTCGAGCATTAATTCTGACATCAATTTCTGTACAACATCGTGCGGATTGTAGCCATAGTACAAAATAAAACATCTTTTAAAAACTATGCTTTGACGTTTATTAGTGCTGAATATTTTTCTTATATCCCATTTCTTAAAAAATAATTTAAATCGTCGGACTTCCAATTACGGCAATTAGAGCCTGTTTCTGTGGACGCGGTCTTTTTTTCTACAGATAATGTGGACGATATAACACTTACAAGTAACAAACAGCAGTGAAGCTAGAAAAGAAATAATTTATAATGTCATTGTTTTAATAATCTACTTTCAATTATTTTTTAAAATAAAATTCAAACATATGGGAGTTTTCTAACCCGCGTGTATACTATGCGGGTACATGAAAGAGTCTGACGCGTGACCAGGTCATTGTTTTCAAAACATGCAAACTCAGATTATCAGGTAGCACAGGTAGCTCACCTGTCAATCAAATCAGAAGCTATTGTTTTTTCTGTGATTGACAGGCGGTAAATTATTGATCTTGAATCAGGTAGATTTTGGGGGCGTTAACATAAAATTGGGTGTTTAAGGTATTGAATTAGCAATAACTATTCTGCTTAGCTGAAACTAGCAGCTGCTACTGCATTACACGTGTTTCATAACAATAACAAACTGCATTAAAGGGAGATAAATGTTACTTACTGTTTCGACTAGGGGGGATTACTGGGGGTCCACCATTAATCTCAAGACTACAACAAAGTTCAGAGGTCAAACTGAGGTCAAACTGACATCACATGTTACACATGTAAAGATTTTGTACAACAAAGGATGAAAAATAAATCATAGTTAATGAAAAGAATGTTATGATGTATGAAAGATATATCAATGATGCAATATGTAAATTCCAATTAGTGACTAGACGTGCAAATATATATGACAATTGTATATGACACAGTGAAAATATGTTAGTTTTTTTTCAAATAACTACCACACCCTGTTATATCAAGTATACTAGTAAATCCTAGCTGATTTTGTTCCAAGATTTAGATAAAGGTATAGTAAATGATTTTGATAATATAATTACTAGTCACCTTATGTGAGCTTCATTCAAAAACAGGTTTAAAAATTTCAATGAGCACTGACAATATTTTAGGATTATTCTATAACTTATACCAATAATCTTGACCCTATGACCTTGACCTTATTTTGAGCAAGTGGGCTCAAAAACTTCAATGATGAACATTTTTGCTTTTAAAAATTTAAATAAATTTAAGGTCTGTTTATTGTTTAAAATGTGATGTTATCATGTAAAATTTATGCATATAATTATGATAATGATTATACGAATCAGGGCATAAAAAAAAAATAAAACTATTTTTTTTTTTGCATAGTTATCTCCCTTTTGAAATCTGAGAGTCAATTATTGTTCATCAAATAACTTAACTGACAGTATTTATTTTTAGCACATATACTAACCACTGAGAAGGAAGGCCCACAATCTTAGCACGTTTAAAGTCCTGAACAAACTCCTGACTGATTTTGGCATTTTTCCCAATGTTTTCTTCCAGTTTCTTGTACAACCCTGGCGTATTTCTACAAGCACTGAACAGAATCCTGGCCGCGGTCCTGTTGAAGGTCAAATACCCCAGGGCCACAGCACAAGCACTCCTGACCTGGTCATTGGGGGAGGAGAGTTTATCGACCAAAATATCAATAGCCCCCGAGGTCACCATGGCGTCCGGAATTCCCGCGCGAGTGTGGGCAAGACTGGAGAGCAGGCTGGCGGCCAGAACGATGACATTGTCTTCTTTTGAGTGGAGTTTCTCCACAAGAAGGGTCACCCCACGGGCCGTTAGGTTCACCTGGTCCTGGTCCACTATGACTCGCGCTAGCACCACAATCTAAAAATCATGATAAATACTTTAAAACTGTTAAAATTTGATTCGCACTTCATTCCTGTTAATTCCAAAAGAGAGCAAATGTCAATAACGGTTAGTTTTTAAAGATCACAGGTGGATATTAATAATACAAACTGATCTTTAAATAAACGAAGTTACTTGGTGGTAGTTAGCACGTTTACAACTGTTTAATTCCCTACTGGCATCTGCTAAAACTTTTTTTTTACAATTATGCAATTCAGATTTGATCCTGGATAATATTCAAGATTTATCAACAGGCTCTCATTTGGGCCGTAAAAATTGAATGAGCTTGGTTTTCACTCCCAATTTACCACTATTTATTCTCTTATTGAAAGCAAGTCTGAGATCAAAAATAAGTTCGAGTCCAAGTTTTATGACAATGCAGGAGCCAGGAATTTCCATTTGCTGACAATTCTGTATTGAGCCAAATGAGGAAAAAAGTCATTAACAAATGCAACTTATTATTTTTTAATACAAAATCTATCTCACCATATTTCTTCACTGAATGATTTTTGGATTAACAGTTTATAAGCTTGTACCTGAAAAGCTGCATAGCAGACATCATACTCTATACTGGAATTAAGGAATGGCTCAAACACGGAGTATTTGATGCCCCCCGCTTCTCTGATGGCATACTGCTGAGGGGTGTTGTTGAAGGCAAAAATTGTAAGAGCCATTCCTGCCCTTAATCGTATTGCCTGTCAAAAAATAAAATATCTAAAGTGGAATCAGAAATAATACAGGGAAATACCAGTGCTGTAATACATAGAAAGATACTTGATTTTTTTGGAAACTCTAAATTTTTGGGATCCTTATCAAAAATGCTTGTCATGAAAGTAAAAATTGAATCATCACAAATTTGAAATAACCCATTATATGATTTTGATTTGAACATATTTTATAATATGTTATAATACATATATGGATTGGGCAGCAGGCACAGTCTATATATGCTCTTTCCACATTATATGCTGGTTCATGTGAAAGAAAATGGCTATATCAGAGTACAAGTATACCCAAGAATGATAGGTTACTAAGCATCAATCTCTATTCCTTTTCATTATTTCCCTTGCTTAACCTTTCAACCTACCTCACTTTTTGACTTTAACAAATCCAGTAGAACATCAAAGTTAAACCCTGGCTCCTCCTGCAGTAATTCCTGGTTACGAGTGTTGCTAAGGACAATACAACCTAGCGCTATGGCAACCTCCACTTGGACCTCCTCAGAAGGAGGCTGATTTAGATAGGTCACTAGGGTGGGGATCGCCCCCTCTTCTGCTATCTTCCTCTGGGTCACTTTGTTGTTGCAATAAGCCACACCTAGCAAAACAAGTTATCTTTTATAAAATTGATGATAATATGTATTTGTGTTGCTGATATAATTGTAATTTTAGAGGAATTGCACCAAAAACAATGTGGACCTTGGAGTAAAACTGGAATTTTTTAAAGTCAATTCAAAGTAATAACACTTAATGTAAATGACCATGTTATTTAATTATATAGCCAGGCCTCATAATTCTGCATACAATTATTTATTCACAAGCAAATTTTCTAGTTAGATGAAATTTCTCAGTTACAGAAACATGCCTTATCGAGGCTCAATTGTGTTAATACTTTATTCTGAATAGAAATGATACAAGATTTAGGCTTAAATTTCATATTAAAAGACTCTGTGGACTTACCAACACACAGAATTCCAAGCACTTGTATGACCATGAGTATGACCTGCGGGGAGTCTTTATGAGTTCGCAGAAGACGGACCAACTGATTAAAAGCCTCCGTCTGAGCTAGTTTTATCTGGTTCTCTATATTCTCTCTTCCCAAAGCAATGGACATCATACAACCTACAATTGAGGATAAATATATTAGATTTCTTGTCATCTATTTTTGTAGTAAGGGTACATGAACTTTCTAAATTTGAATTTGCCTTAGTTTATTTTCTCACCTTAAGCAAGTTATATACTGCAAAAGCATAAATATTCGTGGGGGATTAAATTTTGTTTACTTCGTTGTTAACAATTATCAATGAAATTAAATCCCTCATGAAATTTTATATGACTATATAGTGAACACTAGGGTTACTTTAAACAACGAAATTAAATGCCCACGAAACTATTCTAGGTTACCGTAACAAATCAAAGAAATTTTATCCCCACGAAAATTTGTGCTTCTACAGTAGTTGTACCTGACTAATTTGCATCCTGCATGCAGATTATGACTTGAAACTGACTGGTGATAGTATCTGACTTTAAATAAAACATATGAGAGTTACACAATGACCTTTGTCCTACTTTACACTGTGTGACATTTGTCCTACTTTACACTGTAATTTATTCCGTGTGACGTATGTTCTACTTGACACTGTGTGACCTTTGCCCTACTTTACACTGTGTGACCTTTGTCCTTTTAACATTGTGTGGCCTTTGTTTTTTTTACACTTTGTGACCTTTGCCCTCTTTATGACTTTTGTCCTACTTTACACTGTGTGACCTTTGACCTACTCACCAACTTGAAGCAGTTTTTCAGTATCCTCCAGTAACATACTACAGATGTCGGGGATGCTGGTTTTCTCTGCGATGTATTTCTGTTGAGTCGTGGTGTTTCCGGCTAAAGCCCATAAAGCCTTGGCACCATGCTCCTTCACTGATACATTGAAATTCTGCAATTTCATAGCAGAATTAGTTTTGACTGACTTTAATTTGTGCAATTTTCATTGGAACCAGGTACAAGCAGGTACCATATTCTCCCATTACTTCATAGACTCATGCCACTGAGTAATTACAATGTGGTTTTTTAATTCCAAAGTGCAATAAAAGGGCATATAGGGTATAAAAGGGTATATATCAATTCATGTATATAAAATCTTTCTACACTAAAATTCTACATTAAAATCATTGCTCAATTCAAGAATATACAGTAAAACTTGTTTAGTCTATATAGGGATATTGCAAATTCATGGATATAGCAAAGCTATCTTTGATCCCAAGCTATATAAATTTAAAGAATTCCTTAATTTAAGGATACTTTGTATAACTAATTATGGATATAGTGAAGTAATTTCATAGGTCCCAGTGACTTTAATGTTATAACCAAGTTTTACTGTATAAGATAAGCTACCAACAAACAAGCATCTTTGGTCCTAGAGTACACAATAAAGTCAAAAGACATGTATTTTAAATCTGCATTACACCTGTTACATATTAAACAGATAGTGACAACAAGTCCCTCTACTCCATGGTCTGTCTGTTACCTTGAGGAGTTTTTTGAGAGCTGTGGGGGCTTTGATCCGTAGGAACGTCTGTTGACAGGCTGGGTTGTCCTGGGCTAGGGCCTCTATAGCATTAGCACACTTCACCCTCACAGTCTCGTTAGTTGTACCATTAATTATCTCCACCAGCGGTCTGTAAATTGATACATTTTGGTTAACTATGGGATATAATCACAGTCTTCTAAGAATACTGTTAGTATAAGTTCTTTTTAAAATTTACACTATGTACACAGTCACAAACTTTCCACAGAAATTTGTCCCATCAAACCTTAAATAATACACATATAAAGCATATAATGAGAGTCTTAAGATATCAGCAAAATTTTCTACCAGCGGATTGCAAAGAAATAGAGTTTCCATGGAATTATGACCTCATGGATAAAAGTATGTCTACTATCATAAACCAACCATCCATTTTATTTGTGACTATAACTTTTAAATCAATAAATTTTTTGAACAATGCAATCTTCTCTCATAGATTTGAAGATGAAAAATGAAGAAGAAAAACACAATCTTACTCTAAACCCCCTGCTTCCAGTAAAGCATCTTGATTTTTCTTGTTTCCTGCTGAAATGGCTGCAATACAAGCTGCAGTGGCAGCCTTCAGTTTCTCTGGAAAATCAAAAATAAAATTAAATATGACCTCACTCAAAAATATTTGTTCACAGCTTGCATTTAAAAAAAAGGCAATACTAAAATAAGGTGCCACAACTCTAACCTGAATCTAGAGTAAGAAACTCTCTGAGAAAAGCAATCCCGCCATTTTCCGCCACCGCGTCCTGATTAATGGGATTTCCCGCACACAACACCCGGACGGCATTCACCGTGTTTATCAGAACCTCCTCTAACTCTGAGTCCATCAGATTTATCAGCGGGGGAATTCCCCCCTCCTCTGCGATCAGAGACTGGTTCCCCTGGATACTGGCAATGTCTGACAGAATTATGGCCACGCGGGACTGGATGTTGTCGTCGGGGGAGTTCAGGAGCTGGATTAGGATAGGAGCGGCTTTGGCTTTGGTTAGGGCTTCTCGGACCTCCTGGTGCTCTGATATGTTTACGATGACGGAGGCGGAGACAGACTGCAGGACCTCATTGTCTGAGTGTAGTAAGCCCACCAATGCAGGGATACCACCTGGAAAGCAAAATTGATCAAGATTTTGAAAATTCTTCTCTTCTTCATGATGGTGATTTTTCTTGACAATACTAACTTAGAACCATCCATAAATTTCTATTGTTAAGTTATTTGTTCCTGCACGATCATTACCTCGAGTATAAGAAATATATGGAGATAACACCAGATGCTAGGTATTATTTACCTGCTTCCAGTGTTTGTGTTTAGATGTAGACAGAATGTCTAGACCTGCATCCAGTTGAATCTTTAGATGTAGACATGAATGTCTAGACAGTAGACATTGTCATATTTACCTGCTTCCAGTATAGACTTCCAGTGCTCTGGTTTAGACGTAGACAGGACTTCCAGACATTTGACAGCACTGTCCTTTTTATCTGTGTCAGGATCAGACAGCATTTCTGTCAAAAATTATTTTACATTTTCATTTTATATATACTGAGAATGAAAAAAAGGCACCACAAAGTGGAACATCCCCTCACAAAAGTTCGCATTAATCAAGATATAAAGGATCACCTTCATTTTGCCCACCTTACTCACTCAACCACTAACATACACACAAGCATGATAATTTATTCCCTCCAACGTCTTTGCAAGGGGATAAAAAAAACCCTCCTCATATTCCTTCAATTTTGTAAAATTTATGCCTTTCCATCGAAAGATTATTGCCCTCTTCTACTAACTGACAAGAATGCCTCTCCCCTCAAAATACTATTACACTGTCTTACTTACTGACAAGAATGCCCCCCCCCCCCAAAAAAAAAATTATTGCACTGTCCTATTTACTGACAAGAGTGCTTCTCTCCCAAAAATTCATTGCACTGTCATACTTACTGACAAGAATAGTCCAGACAGGTGCCTTTTGATGGCCCCATTCAATCAGGTACTCCAGCACATTGGTGTGGAACCTCATGGCCGCTAAATTGATCATACCGTTCCCCTCCCCATCCACGCGAGAAATGTCAGCTCCGAGTTTGATCAAGCACTTAACGGCTGACAGACCCCCTGAACCAGCAGCCAACAACAGAGGAGTGGATCTTACACTGAAATAGAGGGGTGGATAAAAAACATTTCAAACTAATAGCTATTTGAAAGTGTAAACATGAAAAAGATCTTTTTTTTTCTTTGAACTTCAATTTCAAAATTCTCTGAAAAGAGAGCCAAATTGGCTCTTATCTGGTATAGTTCTTTCTTTGTAATCAAACATGATACTCATTTTTAATGAGGAGTTATTTATCCTTGCTATATCCATGAGTTTGATGATAAAGATCATTTTGACTTTTCATTGACTTTTATTAAATTAGAATTTTCTGAAAAGAGGGCCAAAATCGTTCTGATCAGGTATAGTTCTTTTTCAAACATACTCGTTTTTAGTGAGGAGTTCTATCACAGGACTATTCCTCCTTGCCATGAGTTTGATGATGGCCTCATGGTCAAAGAAAGAGGCGTGGTGGATGGGTGCCCAGCCGTCCTGATCGTACAATGTCTGTCCGGCACAACAGGCCAGCAAGCAGGCCGCAGCAT